CCGGCCAAAAAAATCACTGGGCAAGAAAATACTTCTTTATCTACGTCTACATTACCTTTACTGCATTTTTTCTTTGGTTTTTTTTCAGTCTCGGTATGTTAGTCACCGTTCTTTAATTTAAAGTTTAGGTTTATCGGCTAAATCTTGTCCGCCATATTTGTTATTGTTATTGCAACGTAAGCAGTTTATCGGGTGAGTTCGGGCGAAAAGCAGGTGAGTTCGGCAAAAAGCAGGTGAGCTCGACGACAAGCTCACCTGCTCTAAACCAATCAGAAAGCCGCTTTTAACACAGGTATGGGATAAGGGGGCGAATTGCAAACCCACCCTGTCCACATTCCCTGTGGGAGGAAACCGGAGTACCCGGAGTAAACCGACGACTTTCGGCAGAGCGTTGACTGACACTTTTCACATGGATATCATAACGTCCACAACGGGAATCGAACCCACGATATCAGAGGTAAAAGGCGCGTGCTCTGAGCCACCGAAGCCAGTGGCGTGACCGAGGGGTGTTTGGGTGCTCAGTGGCGGGGGCCCCCAAGCCAGGGGAGGCCCCGACAAAAATGACCATAAAAGTTTTGCTAGTACATTGGGCAAATTGGTCCGAGCCTCGGTTATAGAGGGTCAGAAAATTTGCAACGGGCCACCCCCAAAAGCAGGAATTGGTAAAATTGTGAAATTTGGACCCTATTTTTTGGTAGATATGGATGCGATAAATTCTATGTTCGTATACAATATAGAAATTTGCGTATTAACTTGGTAATAAACTTGTTCTATTTTTAATCATTTACAAGCAATAATCTTAAGGGAAGATAATCAAGCAGTTATAGTAGTGAAGAGTATAGCATTGTAGGTAGTGAAGGTAGTAGCGAGGGTAGCGGAGGTAGCGAGGGTAGCGGAGGTAGCGAGGGTAGCGACGGTAGCGAGGGTAGCGAAGGTAGCGAGGGTAGCGAGGGTATCTAAATCTAATCTAAGAGATTATGACTAACATATAATAATGTGGTTATAATTAAGCTATGACAATTAATACACTTGAAACTTATGCAAACACTAAAATACTGATTTATATAGAGAACAGCTGACTGTCAATTGCTCTTTTGAATTGACTTAGAGAGAGCATGTTTCTCGTACATTTTGCGGTAACTCGTTCCACATCACTTCCCCGCTATAACTAAAAACTTCGTTTACTGTAGTTCGTGGTTTTGGCACAAATAAGGTGTGTGCAGAGTTTCTTAATTATATCCTGTGCTGCGAGATTCAAACAATTCACGGAGATAATGCGGAGTTAGTTAAGGTAATTCCACAGTAATTGTTCCCGAAATGAGAAAGTGCTGAAACTTCCCAGGCATGGAGTTTATGATATACTTAAGGTAAAATCACACAAAAAAGTCGGGGTCACCGAACTCGTTAAGAAGATACGACAATCACAATATACTACCTTTACGCTCATTACGAGTAACAGCAAACTCACAACAGCCCGATATTTGTTGACGTTTTTAGTGCGGATTTTGCTTTAGTAAACCTATCTTGTAACTATTTTTGAAAAAATATTGTGTTTTGAGCAAAATGAAACTACTAACGTGTACAATTCTGATCCACAAGTGTCTTTTGCACATTTCTTTACATATCTTTCTTTGAGAACATGCATTGATAAAGCATTTTTTTTCAAGATCCAGAAATGATTTTTCTTTTAATTTCGGATATGAAATGTAAAATGTATTTAAGAAATAAATTATCAGTTAAAAAACGGGGGTCACCGATCTTTTTAGGGAATTGTGGCATTAAAACGTGAAATACAAGTAAATAAATATACTACAGACACAGGGAACCCTAGCTACACTTTTGTATGCCTTTTCAGAAAACATTGATTTTAACGTCATTCTTTGCACGAATGTAACCAAAGATGTTTTGAAGTAACATAAAATTGTCATAAAATGATATTTTGTTTTAAACGGTACGTATAATGGATGAAATTATAAGTTATAAGATGTGCACAGTAAAAGTGCGCAATGCGAAACTGCGGAATTACCTTAATTCGTTAATTGTTTTAAACATCAGTATAGCTTTATGCTTTTTCCGACGTGTTAAAAGATTATCCCAGCCCAGCTTCGAGATTTAGTGATAACCCTCGCTGCCCAATTTTAATAGATTTATTAAAAAGACCGATTTAGTAGTCAAGGACTGAACTCCATCGGTTTACAAAATTAAAAGGATCAAAATACAAAATACAATCAGATTAAGAATTATTGTAGTAATAATTACATGGTTAATTATATTAAGTTTTACTAATGTTAAAAGCTTTACTTCCAGCAATTATGAAACTGTTTGCATATCTATTAGTTCTACACCTAGGTATTGATAGTTTGTTATTACCACCCCGAAGGGATATTCTGTATCCCGATTGGAAGGGACAAGGGAATGTAACTTGTGTGCTTCGTCAGTACGCATTCGTTCAAAAAATCTCTTACAGATCGTCTCTCTCCGTATGAATAATGATACCACATCGGCGCGGTCCATTGCAATATCATAACAACAATCTGGGAAGATTATTCGTAGAGCTCTGCGTTGGATCATTTCGATCTGATCACTTAAATACTGGGGCAAACTGTGATGCCATACTTCGCACGAGTATTCTAAAATTGGTCTAATGCATGTATTAAACACTCGCACTAACTTGCTTGATGGAATGGAAGATCTCTTTAATAATCGTAGAGCATGCAGACGCTTCGCAGCTTTCTTACGAATGACACCGGCAATCCTTTACTAAAAGACACCGGCAATCCTTTATACCTAGAGCTATAATTCTTTTAAAACAGTCCTAAATTAATTTTATAGAATATATAACTAGTATAAACATTTTTAGCAACGTACATTGATGTAAATAATAGTAAAATTTCTTCTTATCAATTTTAACCTTAGCACTTCTTGTAAATCCACTGTACTTTTCTAACCAAAGATGGATATTAAATGTTATTATTAAATCAACATGAAGAACCCACTTGAGGTCTTCGGAGATGATTAATCCGAGCCTGTGACACGACAGAAATGTTACAGCCATCAATGGTAAGTGGAGGAAGTGCTTCGGTATCATAAGTCGAAAAACATACTCGAATTTCCTTGGTTTTAGTGGGATTCAATTTCATATTGTTTTTGGCCACCCAACTGGAGCATTCACTAATTTGTGCCGGTAAGACTGAAGCAGACGATTGGGCGCTCGTAATTATTTCCCATAAAGTAGTGTCGTCTACGAATTTAACAGAATCGTCAGAGACCTTCAGGTCGTTCACCATAATTAAAAAGAGCAAGGGGCCAAGTTTGGTTCCCTGTGGGACACCACCATTGATTGGCCACGCTGTCAGTCTTCTGTCTGTGAGAAAGTTGGCGATCCAATTAATAAGGACAGGATGTATGCCCATATTTATTAATTTTTGAAGTAAGATGTTGAAGTCAATCCGGTCAAATGCTTTTGAGAAGTCCAACGTACAGATTCAAGGACAGGTGCCGGGTGTGTCCATGGCTTCGTACCATTTATGGAACATATATAATAATGCCATTGTGGAACTTGATCTTTTAAGCGCACCAAATTGAAGGTTATCAATTTGACCGCTAACTGACCGTAAAAGTCAGCTATGAGGGAATGACTCTAAGATCTTGCTTACAATTGGCGTAAGAGAGATCGGTCTAAAATCGGAATCAATATTTCAGGGCAGGTGACGATTTTGGCACAGGAGACACATTGGTGGATTTCCACAACAACGGGATGTTTCCTTCTTGGATAGAAGCATTGAAAATGGATGCTAATGGGCGGGATAGAGAGGCAAGTTCTCACGGAGGAGCCAAGGAGAAATCTCATCTGGACCTGCCGTAAAATCTTGAACGAGCTCTCTTACAAAGCATATTTACTTTGTTTCTGTAGAGATGGAACATGATATTGTTTTCGCTATTCCAAGCTGCTTGACGTTTGGAGATTAATCTTTTGATCTCAGATGTCACCCAGGGCTTATCGCTACTATCCGATTTTATACGTTTCATTGGAAGGTACTGGTCGACAATGTCATTAACAATGAATGAAAAGTAATGAAACTTATCGTTGCAAGAGTCCATTCTATACAGGGGAGACCAGTTTATACTTGACAAAGCCTCGAAGACTAACTTCCGATTAGGGGAACGCGTGTCTCTGACCATTCGGATACATTGCTTCAGCGGTTTTATCAACACTGAGTTATGGTCAGAGAAACCGACAGGTGGGAGAATCTCTGGAACGTTATAAAATTTGGACGCATTTGTAAATATCTTGTCTAAGATGTTGGATCCTTTTGTTGCATGCTTAATAACCTGTTTAAGGGAAAACGAGTTACATAGTTGACTGTGCCTAAATTGGTTAAAATTGCCTGCAATGATGATAGCTGACGCAGGATAGGATGTTAATGCACTGTCGAGGGATTATATAAGGTGTGTTAACAGGACCCTATCGTCGTTTTTCGGTGGATGGCAAATTGCGACTAAAATTATAGAATTAATTCCACGTGGTAGTCGACTTGGTTTTATTAGGAGCCATAACGATTCAACTTCGGGATGTGAAAGTTCCTTAAGATGAACCACAGGCATACGATCGTTTACATAAACACAAACACCTCCACCTCCTCTACCATCTCGTCGGTCACGCCTGAATATGGAGAAGCCATTTAGATTTATTGCTGACATTAGGAGAAAGCCAAATTTCCGTAATGACCACAATATCCAAAGAAAGTGAAGAAACAGTTCCAGACAGCTCATCGATTTTATTGACTAATGACCTCGAGTTGGATAGGAACAAGGAGGGTAAGAAGGTATACGAGGTATTGCTGCTTAATTTAATTTTCCGGAGGTTACGACGATTACTGACTACTGAGTATGCCAGAATTATAATTGCGGATAGATCGGTGATCACGTGCAGTAATCCGAACGGCGATCATTGTGGAAGGTACCTTGTGGGAATCTGTAAGGTTTTTAGGAGGACATAAGGGGATTACGTGATAGACTAGATTATTCAAGAGCAGCTAAAGAACATGATAAACATTTTAAATGCACTCATTCAAAGTAACCATACAACTCAAAATTTTTCACGAGAAATTCGACTAGACATTGATCATTTCGATAACACCTTCAGAATAGTGCTTACGAATTTTCTGCTCATGGAAACGTTCTGCATGTTATGTGGTGACTTTAATGCTAGGATAGGTAACCTAGATTTAATATTGATGATCCTTTTTCAAACATAGAACATCTCATCCCAGTTTTCGTCAACTAAACGACTTTCGAGAGATACACATGTAAATCTGTATGGAAGATCTTTAGTTGATCTATGATATATTGGGAATAGTTTGATTCCCTTAAATGGTAGAACCAAAGGTGATTTGATTGACCAGTTCACTTGTAATATGTACAATGTTGTCAATGGTGCAAGTGTTGTGGACTATATGCTATTTTTTTTTTTTTTCTGTGTTGGTGTAGTGTACTCAGGTGAATATGATATTTGTGGTGTTACTCTGAGTGTATATCCACACCGGGCGAGCTTGACACATGTGTCAACACATGTGAAATTATGTGTTTCACATGTGAAGTTTCTCATGTGAATTTGGAACATGTGAATTTGGAACATGTGACTTTTCACATGTGAACACATGTTGGCTCATATTAACGCTGATGAACATCCGGGCCCGGTGTGGATATACACTCAGAGTAACACCACAAATATTATATGCTATTGTTTCGCATGACTTGCATGTTTCCTTTCATACATAGTTTCCCGATAGATGACCCAACAGAGTTTCTAACCCAACAGAGTTGTCTTTCCCTGGTGTTGAAAATAGAATTTCCTCAACGTCTGAATGATGCTATGAAATTATCTTCCCATCCAATATCTTTTAGTGGAATGAAAATCATAACAAAACATTACAAAATATTATGAATTCAGAGGAAGTTAAGAACAAATTAAATGCATGCACTGTTTATTCAAGAACCAGAAAACAAACCAAGTGATGTTAATGTACTTGTAATAATTTCACAGAAATATTACGTGATTCTGCTAAAGCAGTTTTGGTCATGAAACAAAAGAAACTAACCAGTAAAAACAGTAAGATAAATAAACCAAAGCAAAAGTGGTTTAATTAATAAAGATATTGTCATACATTTAAAAGGAGTTTGCCTAACTTGGGTAGTTTAATTTACCAGCAAATTATCCCTCAGATTCGTTTTTACGTCATACATTTTTCACCAAAAGAAACGAGTATAAGAGATTAATTAATAAAAAGACTCAAACGACAATTTCATAGTAGTGTATTAGATAAAATTGAAAACCTATCAAGTAGTAATCCTAAAGAATTTTGAAATTTAGTTAACTTAATCAAGGCAAAACAATCGCCTACAATATCAAATGAAATACAACCCTCTGAATGGTTTGACTATTTTAAAAATTTAAACATGGTAAACATTCATAGTGAAAAGAATAATTATGAAGCTGAAATTGTTAATGATAACCATCGTTGGGTGATATGTAGAAATGACACACTTGATAAACCAATTTCTGTTCATGAATTGTATATATAGTCTATAGACTAACAGACAAGTTAAAGAACAAAAAGGCCAGTGGCAGTGCTATTGATTCACTAACTAATGAAATTATTAAGGTAGCAGTTAAAACTTTACCATATTATTTCACCAAGTTATTTAAAACATTTATCCCACGGGATTTTTCCATCATTGTGGAAAGTTTTATTGTACCGATCACAAATCAGGTGATACTGCTGATCCCAATAACTATAGAAGAATCATGCATCGGTAGCTGTTTGGGAAAATTAAGAATATCGAATAACTGCCAAATAGGTCATAGAAATCGGACTGTTCGGACAGCAGATCATATATTAGTTTTGAAAACCTTGATGGACTGTTATAGGCTAAAACGAAAACCAATTTTTGCTTGCTTTATTGATTTTAAGAAGGCTTATAATAGTGTGTGGAGGGAAAGTCTTTTTTATAAGCTTATTTTATCTGGATGCAGTAAATTGAGAAAATCAACAACCTGTTGATATCGACGACAGGCGTTAACAATGTTGTTCGACGACAGGCGTGAACAATGTGCAAGTTGATATCGACGACAGGCGTGAACAATGTTGTGCGGCCCACTATGAACAGTATTGTCAACATGTTGTTGCAGCATTGTTCAATTGTAACAACTTGGAACAACATGGTTGACAACTTGTTCATAGTTGGCCGCATAACAGTGTTCACGCCTGTCAACTTGTAACAACCTGTGCGTTTTTAGCCGTGTATGTATTCCTCAGTAAACTATTCAGTAAAATTACGTCAAGGAACAACTCCCTTCTTCAACTCTGATGTTGGTGTTAAATAAGGCTGTAATCTTCTTTCTACTGTTTTCAACATGTTTGTAAATGATATACCTGATTTTTTTAAAATTAACCAGGCGTGTGATCCAGTAAAACTTGGTAATACAGATTTGAACAGTTTACTTTATGCGGACGATTTAGTCCTGTTGTCCAAATCGCAAACAGGTTTACAAGAGTGTCTATCAAAACTTGAAATATATACAAAGAAATGGAAGCTCAAAATTAATAGGAGAAAATGCAAAGTTTTACTTTTTGGAACGCCGACCAAAGGCGTGCATATTTAACGTCAGCTTGGTTATACGAAGAAAATCCCCTATAGAACAGGTGGAGCTAGTATTGTTACCTTGGAATTACTCCTCACTTTTCCGGAAATTTCAAACGGGTGATACTGCTGATCAGGTGATACTGCTGATACGAGCTTACAATTTTTTTATACAAAAAATTTTCAAATTTTGAAAATTTGCCAATCAAATTGCTTTTAAAACTTTTTTTCGACTACAATATTCACATTTTATTAAATAGAAAGATTTCATTTAAAATTTTGTAAACGTATTTTTGGAGTTCACTCAAAAACTACAAATATAGCAATTTATACCGAATTAGGAAGGATACCGTTAATTGCACAAATTTCTTTGCATATCGTTAAATACTGGCTACACATTAAGGATGCAAGTTTCGATAAAACTCTGGCTGACGAAGCTGCTCGAGTGTGTATGGATATGAATCTTCAACCAGCAATGTTTACGGATTATATATATTTACTGAAAGAGTGTAAAAATGATGTTGGAT